TATATTATATATATATATATATATATATATATATATATATATATATATATATAAACACACATATATAATTACAATATTTAGTTGTTTTTTATAATTGTATATTTATTAAAATATTTGTAATTATAATTATAATTATGTAGTTGCTATATATTTTCCTAAAATTATATGTATATATATATATATACACACACACACATACACACACAAAATTAAAAAGTAATAATTAAAAAGTAATTAATATATATTTTACATTTTTAATCTTTCAAATATATATTTATTCAACATACATTTAATACAATTGTATAAATGATGTGTGTATGTATATATATACTGTATATTTAGCTGAAGTGATGTAATCTGTGTTTGCTCCTGCAGGTATCTGGTCCCATGTTCTCTGCTGACGTATGCTGAGAGACTCCGGCTGCGAGAGAGAGACTGTTACTCCATCCCTGCGTCTGCGCTGCTCTCGCTCACACCTTCCTTCTTCATTCCCAAACCCTGCCCCTCTCCACCGCAGACACCCAAACCTGACTACATCCTCTGGTCAAAGGTCACCAAGGGCCTGCTGAGGTGGAACGTGGGTAATGGAGTTCATGACCTTATGCACATGTAGTCTCAAATATGAATAATAAGTTACAAAACATTACACACTACCATTTAAAAATCAACACAATTTTTTTCATATTTTTTAAAGAAGCCTCTTCTGCTGATCAAGGATGCGTTTGTTTGATCAAAAATACTGTAAACATTGTGAAATATTATTACAATGTAGAACAGTTGTTTTCTATGTGAATATGTGTTAAACTGTAATGTATTTCTGTGATGCGCAGCTGTATTTTCAGCATCATTACTCCAGTCTTATGATCTTCAGAAATCAGTATAATATGCTGATCTGCTGCTCGAGAAACATTTCTGATTATTATCAATGTTGAACACAGTTGTGCTGCACAATATTTCTGTGGAAACTGTGATGCGTTTTATTTTTCAGGATTCACAGATGAACAGAAAGTCCAGAAGAACAGCATTTATTTGAAATAGAAATATTTTCTAACATTATAAATGTCTTTACTGTCACTTTTGATAAATTTAATGCGTCCTTGATCAATAAAAGTATTCATTTATTTTTTTAGTGTCACTGTGATACTATTATAGTTTATATTATAAATTAGCTTTTATTTGTATTTATTCTGTTTTAATTTCAATTTTAAAGCTTTAGTAATTTTGTTTTTGTAATTTTCATTGTTTTTAATGTTATTAATTTTTTATTTCAGTTTCAGTTTTAGTTATTGTAGTAAACCAAATTAAATAAAATATAAAGAAAACCTTAAACGTATTTTATTTTCATTTCAAGTAACACATTTTTAATAGTTTTAGTTGCAGTTTTAGTTAACTACAATGTTATTTTGAACATTATATGCATACAGATAACAAAATATGTCCTAAGAATGTTTTCCTAACACTTCCATTTTATGAAAGTTATGAAAATGTTATTTCCGAATGTTCTCTGAACGTCCATTTAAAAAAAAA